TAACAGGAACTCTAGCAAGCGATGCAGAAATTGTCCAGGATCCCGAATTCGTATTTTCTGTAAGCCCACCAGTTGGATGGACCTATTTCCCTCCATTAGCGAGTACAGGAATCAACACAGCGGTGATAAATTTTTCTTAAAATGCTTGATAACACAATTGGAAACTATCTAACCACTTCTCACCCAAATTACTTATCAACCAACAAATACAAAAAATTTATTTAAAACGTTGATAATAACCGACTTATATTTACAGCAGACAGTAAATTATTTCCCAGGCCAAGGATTATCGCTGAATGACGCAGCAAATCGTGCTGCAGCCGATGTTACTGCATCTGTTAGTTTTTTGAACTACATTTAGAGTTTATCTGTTGAACACATTCACCTAATTTCTATCTCAGTTCCGGATCGTTAATAAGAAAAGCTATTTTCCCAGTCACAGATCAAGTTGCTCTAATGAGAACTCTTCCTCGCATACCAAAAATAAATTCATAAAAAAGATGAGCAACGTCAAAAAAAATTTCTAGATGCTAGAAGCTTTCAATGAGGTTGGGATACTAGCCCCGGGTGTTCAAATAACCGTAATCTACGAGCCCGATATGATAAGCAACTGCTACATCGGAACGCTTATAACAGGTTCACAATATTAATCATGCTTGTTTTTCATCATCTAACTCAACTACATAAAGAACTATAAAACTTTGTACACGATGTAGTTAAAGATAAGATTTATATATCAGTTAAAAATTGCTGAATTACTGATGGCACAGCAAAAACTGTGTTCCGACAGTCCCATCACGTGAAGAAAAAATTCAATTTAATGACAATATTTTACTGATAAAATCAGTTCTGTTAGTTTAGCTGGAACAAGAATCGGCGTTCTTTCCGGTGGTGCAATAACCGAAATCGGATTAGTACCAAACACAGGTCTTACCCTGCAAACCTGTTCTCCAATCAATGGAATCGATTTCTTAGAATACGTCAAAGTACGTCTATCACCATATGCAGCCATTTAAACATAACTGAAAGTATTGTACTATCTTTCCAAAAAGTTCAAGCTCTGAACTGCTTTTCAGGAAGTACGTGTAGTTGTCCGGGGATACACTGCAACTAGATATATTTGGAACCGGGTCAGCGCATCAATGTTGGCAACACTGAATTTCAGATATCACGCCTTGTTCCGCAGTCCAATCATAATCACTCGGTAACCTGAGACAAGTAACCAAAAATCAACGTACCCTCCAAGAATCAAACCAGCCTCTGACTTCTTTGTTCGCATCAGTAATACCCGACTTATAAACCCAGTAACTTAATACAATCATCACACAATCTTCCTTTTTGTTCAAAACGATTAAAAAACCAAGAAATAAACATCTGCCGACCATTGACTTAAAGTGGTCAACGCCTCAACAGCTGCAAAAAGTGTATGTGACTTATTTCACACGTCCGCACCAAAAATACCACCGTCCTGCATAAAATAACCCTTACACTGTTAAAATCAAACGGTGCTTAACAACTGTCAGAAAACTGCCATTTGAGCGCAGCGCACGAAACGACGAACTAACACTGTCAGTACGAAACCATCCAAGCAAAACTGATAAAGAGACCAATAATTCATGAACTCGTTTTACTACATACAAAAAAGTGAATTGAATTGGAATTAGCACTATATGCCAGTACACCGCACAAATGTAGCTACATACAACATTATACCAAACAAAATCAACTAAATACTTTCTTCGATAACGTCAATAACCGGAATAAAGACTACAGCCCCAGAACCAACCATGGAACAAAGTTACACTTTCACATCCGCAAAGATCCAAAAAAAGGTACTTCAGTTAAGTTTTCTTATTCATGCCTCAATTTGGCGAAAACCGAGACAATTACTTGATAAAAAATATATGAAATCCGTTGAGATGGTACCAGAAATTACTACGGTTAAAATGTCAAGAAAGTATGGTTACTGGCAGGTCCCCACAAACAACGATGATGTATAAAACTCGGGTTACTCGCCAATAGTAAAGAAACGTATAACAACTGAAACTGGTAACTTGAGCCCGAATGAAACAAAAAAAAATTTACAAAAATCACACATCAGTTCGTTTGAAAGGCTTACATACCACACCAAATTAGGTTCTTAAAAACATAACAGCCAAAAAAATGTTCCTGAGAATAAGATTCGGCAAATCATAAACAGAACTTTTGGACTACAGGGACTAGCAAAGATGCGCAGAACCACCAAGTTTAACAAGGAGATTAGCAAAGGCAAATCGTTTTGCCTAATACACTATAAATAAAACAGATGAAAAAAACATACAAAAAAAAAAAAAAAAAAAAAAAAAAAAAA